TCCCTTTTCTTGGGAGGGAGGGAGTGGGATTTTTGCCCCAAACTGGGGCACCCCACACCTGGCTGTGGGTTGGGGGCATGGAATGGATCCCAGCCCTTTCCTTGGGAGGGAGATCTGGGATTTGTGTCCCAAACTGGGGGACATGGGGTGGATCCCAACCCTTTCCTTAGGAGGGAGATGTGGGAGTGGGATTTTTACCTAGAACTGGGCCTGTGGCTGTGGATAGGGGGGCGCAGGGTGTATCCTGTCCCTTTCCTTGGGAGGTCTGGGAGTGGRATTTGTGCCCCGAACTGGAAAGCCCTGGGAATGTCACCACAGGTCCAGCTCCTGATCTCAGCCCAGGACGTGGAGAACTACAAGGTGATCAAGTCRGAGCTGGACAAGCTCCGCACGATGGTGGAGAAATCGGAGCTGTGGGTGGACAAGAAGGGCAGCACCAAGGGGGACAACACAGGGGACGGGAACAAGAAGGAGAAGAAGGAGGTGAGAGCAAGGCCCTGGGATCTGGGTTGGGAAAGGAGTGGGAGGCAGGGGGGCAGCTCCTCTCAACCCAGCACCTGATGGGGGCTCCAGGAGGGTCCTGGGGGTGYAGCTGGAGGGACAGAGGTGACCCCAGTGCTGTTGTGTCCCCTGCAGCACGGTGCTGACGAGGAGGTCATTGCTCCAGGAGAGAAGAGCAGCGAGAACTACCAGATAGTCAAAGGGGTGAGTGAGACCGAGCCCATCCTCGGGGCTGTTCACAAAGGTCAGAAGGGAAGGGCTGAAATTCTGGGGGGATTTCTGGATTTGAAGCACAGAACCACCAGGGTTGGAAGAGACCCACAACATCTTTGAGTCCAACTCATGCCTTAACACCTCAACACCTCAAGCACCTCATCCAATCTCTTTTCAAACACACCCAGGGATGGTGACTCCACCACCTCCCCAGGCAGACCATTCCAGTGCTTTATCACTCTTTCTGTAAAGAACTCYTTTTTAATATCCAACACCTGGCATTATGGTGATGCCTAATCTGAAACAGAGGCCAGACAAATTTAAGAGAATGGACAACTTTAATCCAGGCCTAACAGGCCTACCTGGTACATTGAGGGCAGACAAAGTCTCCTCCTGAGGCTACACCCAAAATGGACACCGAGTCACAAGATCCTCACCTTTTATAAGTTCTGTCTTATGAACATATCGTGTCTTAATTCTCCAGTGATCTTTTCAGGTGATGATGTTCAACCACCCCAAACTTTCTCCCCCCTCCAACTCGCTGCTGTTTCCATATTTTGGGGCTGCTGTTTCCATATTTTGGGGCTCTGAGGTGTCCTTGGATTCAGGCTCAGAGAAGGATTATTTTGTCTAAAGATGGGAGAACGATAGTTTTAGTGTTGCACTGGAGAAATACAAGAATACAGATGCACGAAAATATACAAACTAAAAATCCTAAGGCATCAATGGAAGGAACATCTGGAATGCACACCATCCCCAGAGCTGGTGGCCATCCCGAGTGTCTCCAGGCTCAGCCCCTGGCCCCTCTGTCCCCAGATCCTGGAGMGGCTGAACAAGATGTGCGGGGTGGGCGAGCAGGTGCGCAAGAAGCAGCAGCGCYTGCTGAAGAACATGGACGCCCACAAAGTGATGCTGGACCTGCTGCAGATCCCCTATGAGAAGGTGGGTGGGCAAAACCCAGCCAGTCCTAAGCTCCAAGGGGACAGGAGGACATGTGGTGACCCCGCTGAGCGTTCTCCCATCACTCCCGTCCCTCCCAGCTCCGCGTGTTTCTCCTCTGTCCGTTCCTCAGGGCGATGCCAAGATGATGGAGATCCTCAAGTTCACCCACCAGTTCCTGCAGAAGTTCTGTGCKGGCAACCAGGAGAACCAGGCCCTGCTGCACAAACACCTCAACCTGTTCCTGACCCCGGGGGTGAGGAGGGGGCAGCAGCACAGGGACGGGACTCAGCACTGCTCCTGGGGCTGAGAGCAGGGGATGGAAAAGCCAGGAGGAGACTGGAAACTGTCTTTGTCACCCCCTGAGCTCCCTGTGCCCCTTGTCCCCAGCTGCTGGAGGCCGAGACCATGCAGCACATCTTCCTCAACAACTACCAGCTGTGCTCGGAGATCAACGAGACCGTGCCGCAGCACTTCATCCACTGCGTGGCCACCCACGGCCGCCACGTCCAGTACCTCGACTTCCTGCACACCATCATCAAGGCCGAGGGCAAGTACGTCAAGAAGTGCCAGGACATGATCATGACCGAGGTGAGGAGCTCTCCTGTGGGGCAGGGCCGGTGGGAGAGCAGGGTGTGGCTTTTGGAACCTGCACCGTTGGATTCTTGCTTGGGAAGAGCCTTCCAGCCGTGCTGGATCCTCCATGGAACCAGCCAACCCTGGTGCTGGTGGCCACCTTGAGTGGTCATCAGCCATCTCTGGGAGCTCGGTGCAAGGTCCACAAGCCAGTTTGGGAGTCCYATAATTTCTGATTGCACTGGAAATGCCTTGTTTTGGCTGCAAACACAAATCCTTGTCACCCTCGTTGTCCCTACAAATTCCTGTCACCCTTCCTACCCACTGCTGCTCATCCCCCACTGCAGAGGGGACCCCACTGGCCTTGGAGGTCTCTGACCCTCCATTTTCAGCACGATGACCACTGACCACTGACCCCTGCAGCTCACCAACGCCGGGGACGACGTGGTGGTTTTCTACAACGACAAAGCGTCGCTGGCCACGCTGCTGGAGATGATGACGGCGGCCAGGGACGGGGTGGAGGAGAACAGCCCCCTGATGTACCAYATCTCCCTGGTGGACCTGCTGGCCGCCTGTGCCGAGGGCAAGAACGTCTACACCGAGATCAAGTGCACGTCCCTGCTGCCCCTGGAGGACGTGGTGCGGGTGGTGACGCAYGAGGACTGCATCACGGAGGTACGGGGTGGCAGCCAGGGGGACACTGGGGCTCTGCTGGTTGTCCCCTGATGGTGTCCCTGCCCCTGTGACCCTCCCTGGCAGGTGAAGATGGCCTACGTGAACTTTGTCAACCACTGCTACGTGGACACGGAGGTGGAGATGAAGGAGATCTACACCAGCAACCACATCTGGACCCTCTTTGAGAACTTCACCCTGGACATGGCCCAGGTGCGTGGGGAGGGCTGGGTGGGAGGGACAGCAGCAGCAGTGGCGGGTTGGATGGGGACAGGGTGGTGTCACCATGACCCTGTGGGGTTTGGGTGCTGTGGGGACTCCTGTAGCTGCCACATTTTTGGTTGGAGAGTGGTCAGAGCTCTCTGGAGCTGTGTCACCGGCCAATCCATCTGCTCAGCGTGGTCCCAGCAGCCTCTGGGGGGACACAAGCTCACCTGACCCCAGTGCCATGGGTGTCCCCTTGTCCTGACAGATGTGCAAGAAGCGGGAGAAGCGCCTGCCGGACGCCACGCTGGAGAAGTACGTGCTGACAGTGGTGCTGGACACCATCAACGCCTTCTTCAGCTCRCCCTTCTCGGAGAACAGCACCTCCCTGCAGGTGACAGGGCATGAACAGGGCAGCAGGGAGGGGACAGCAGCTCGGCCAGCCCCACAGACACGGTCTGAGCTGCCTGCTCTCTCCCCCAGACCCACCAGACCATCGTGGTGCAGCTCCTGCAGTCCACCACGCGGCTGCTGGAGTGTCCCTGGCTGCAGCAGCAGCACAAGAGCTCGGTGGAATCCTGCATCCGCACGCTGGCCATGGTCGGTAAGGAGCCAGCACCGTGCCCAGGGCACAGGGGACACTGCCACCCTGCTCTGTCTGTGCTTGGCCACGCTGTCCCTCCTCTGGGAATGGCAGGACACCGCGGTGACCCGCTGCCAGCTGGCCGTGGGGACGTTTGGCTCCGGGATGTGCCTTTTTCTGAGCCACATCTCAGCACGCCCAGGGCAGTGTGGGGATAACCAGAGCCTGGGCGTGGCTGGGAGCTCCCTGGTGTGTCCCTGCTGGACACAAAGCCAACATTGACAGTGGCTTTCCCTGGGCAGGACTTTGCCCTCGGCGTGCCTGGCTCGGCGCTGTTAGCACTGAGTCACCCCGTGGGAAGGATCGCTGGTGGCTGGGCTCTGGGCGGGGATTTCCCTCTGGAATTCCGGGCTGGGCGCTTACAGCCAGGCTTTCCCAACCAAAAACCGGAGCTGGAGCCTGTTTTCACCCTTGCTGGGGTGTTGGGAGGGGTGTGGGAGGGATGGGTGGGAACACGGCAGTGTTCACTGCCTGGAGGAGTTCACTCCAGTATTTACCCCAAATCTCAGCTGCAAATGAGGTCAATGCTGAGGAAGTAGTGCCTAGGCAGGACAGGGTGGTGGGACCCAGCTAGGTGGTGGTTTACTCAAGAATTTGCCCCAAATCCGTTCTGCAAATGAGGTGAATACTGGGGAAGGGGAGCCTGGGCAGGGAAGGGTGGTGGGATGCAGCTGGGTGGTGGTTCACTGGATTATTTACCCCAAATCTGTTCTGCAAATGAGGTCAATGCTGGGGAAGGGGTAGGGCAGTGGGAACCAGATGGGTGGTGGGGTTTTTGTGTATTTACCCCAGATCTCAGCTGCAAATGAGGTGAACACTGGGGAAGTGGTGCTGGGCAGGGCAGGGTGTTAGAACCCAACTGGGTGGTGGTTTACTCGAATATTTACCCCAAATCTGTTTTGCAAATGAGGTGAACACCGGGGAAGGGGTGGCTGGACAGGGTGATGGTTTATTTCTCTATTTACCCCAGATGTCAGCTGCAAATAAGGTGAACACTGGGGAAGCAGTGCTGGGCAGGGCAGGGTGTTAGAACCCAGCTGGGTGGTGCTTTACTCGATTATGTACCCCAAATCTCAGCTGCAAATGAGGTCAATGCTGGGGAAGGAGTGCCTGGCTGGGCAGGATGGTGGGTCACAGCTGAGTGGTGGGGTTTGTGTGTATTTACCCCAAATCTCAGCTGCAAATGAGGTGAACACTGGTGAAGAGGTGCCCAGGCAGAACAGGATGGTGGGACCCACCTGAGTAGTGGTTTATTTGAGAATTTGGAATTTGCCCCAAATCTGTTCTGCAAATACGATCAGCGCTGGGGGAGGGGTAGGACCCAGTGGGGTGATGGTTTATTTGTCTATTTACCCCAAATCTCAGCTGCAGATGAGGTCAATGCTGGGGAAGGAGTACCTGGGCAGGGTGGTGAGACCCAGCTGAGTGGTGGTTTATTTGAGAATTTGCCCCAAATCTGTTCTGTAGATGAGGTCAATGCTGGGGAAGGGGTACCTGGACTGGGTGGTGGTTTATTTGTATATTTACCCCAAATCTGTTCTGCAAATGAGGTGAATACTGGTGAAAGGGTGCCTGGACAGGGTAGGGTGGTAGGACCCAGCTGGGCAGTGGTTTACTTGTGAATTTACCCCAAATCTCAGCTGCAAATGAGGCCAATGCTGGGGAAGGGGTAGGGCAATGGGAACCAGCTGAGTAATGGTTTATTTGTGTTTACTCCAAATCTCAGCTGCAGATGAGGTCAATGCTGGGGAAGGAGTACCTGGGCAGGGTAGTGAGACCCAACTGAGTGGTGGTTTATGTGAGAATTTGCCCCAAATCTGCTCTGCAAATGAGGTCAACACTGGGAGAGGGGTGCCTGGGTTGGGTGATGGTTTATTTGAGTATTTACCCCAAATCTCTTCTGCAAATGAGGTGAATACCGATGAAAGGGTGCCTGCACAGGGTAGGGTGGTAGGACCCAGCTGAGCAGTGGTTTACTTGTGAATTTGCCCCAAATCTGTTCTGTAAATGTGGTCAGCGCTGGGGAAGGGGTAGGACCCAATGGGGTGATGGTTTATTTGTCTATTTACCCCAAATCTCTGCTGCAAATGAGGTCAATGCTGAGGAAGGGATGCCTGGGCAGAACAGGGTGGTGGGACCCAGCTGGGTGGTGGTTTACTCAAGAATTTGCCCCAAATCTGTTCTGTAGATGAAGTCAACACTGGGAAAGGGGTGCCTGGGTTGGGTGATGGTTTATTTGAGTATTTACCCAAAATCTGTTCTGCAAATGAGGTGAATACCGGTGAAAGGGTGCCTGGACAGGGTAGGGTGGTAGGACCCAGCTGGGCAGTGGTTTATTTGAGAATTTGCCTCAAATCTGTTCTGTAAATGAGATCAATGCTGGGGAAGGGGTGCCTGGGCCGGGCAGGATGGTGGGACTCAGCTGGGTGGTGGGTTTTGTGTGTATTTACCCCAAATCTCTGCTGCAAATGGGGTGAACACTGGTGAAGGGGTGCCTGGACAGGGTGATGGTTTATTTGTGTATTCACCCCAAATCTCTGCTGCAAACGAGGTAGATACTGATGAAGGGGTGCCTGGGCAGAACAGGGTGATGGGACCCAGTTGAGTAGTGGTTTATTTGAGAATTTGCCCCAAATCTGTTCTGCAAATAAGGTCAGCGCTGGGGAAGGGGTAGGACAGTGGGACCCAGCTAGGTGATGGTTTATTTGTCTATTTATCCCAAATCTCAGCTGCAGATGAGGTCAATGCTGGGGAAGGAGTACCTGGGTAGGGTGGTGAGACCCAACTGAGTGGTGGTTTATGTGAGAATTTGCCCCAAATCTGCTCTGCAAATAAGGTCAATGCTGGGAGAGGGGTGCCTGGGCTGGGTGATGGTTTATTTGAGTATTTACCCCAAATCTCAGCTCAAATGAGGTGGATACTGGTGAAGGGGTGCCTGGGCAGAACAGGGTGGTGGTACCCAGCTGGGTGGTGGTTTACTCAAGAATTTGCCCCAAATCTGTTCTGCAAATGAGGTGAATACTGGTGGAAGGGTGCCTGGACAGGGTAGGGTGGTAGGACCCAGCTGGGCAGTGGTTTACTTGCTAATTTGCCCCAAATCTGTTCTGTAAATGAGGTCAATGCTGGGGAAAGGGTGCCTGGGGTGGGCAGGATGATGGGATTCAGCTGGGTGGTGGTTTTTGTGTGTATTTACCCCAAATCTCTGCTGCAAATGAGGTGAACACTGGTGAAAGGGTGCCTGGGCAGAACAGGGAGGTGGGACCCAGTTGAGTAGTGGTTTATTTGAGAATTTGGAATTTGCCCCAAATCTGTTCTGCAAATACGATCAGCGCTGGGGGAGGGGTAGGACCCAGTGGGGTGATGGTTTATTTGTCTATTTACCCCAAATCTCAGCTGCA